CACCCCCCAGACCCTCCCCCATCGATGCTCCCCCCCAGGGTCTCCTTTCCGAGACCTTCCTGGAGGCTCACCACGTGGTGAAGATGTCCAAGAGCGAGGATGATGCTGGCGATGAAGAGCTGACGCCGGAGGAGCTGCAGAAGATCACAGGTGAGGCTGCGTGGGGCTGTGAGCTGTGGGGTGCTGGGCGGGGTGGGGGGGTCGCTCTGCCCTACAGCCACCCCATAACTCGCCCTGCTGCCCCACAGAGGAGGATTTCTATGAGAAGCTGGCGGCTTCCATCGCCCCCGAGATTTATGGGCATGAGGACGTGAAGAAGGCGCTGCTGCTGCAGCTGGTGGGGGGCGTGGAGCGCAGCCCCCATGGGATGAGGATCCGGGGTGAGCATGGGGGGCAGCTGGGGGTCTGGGGCTCTGAAAAGGGGGATTTGGGGTCTGTAAAGTAAGATTTGTGGTTCCATGTAGTGGGATTTGGGGTCCCATACAGTGGGATTTGTGCTGCATAAAGGGAGATCTGTGGCTTCGTGCAGTGAGATTTTGGGTCGATTCAGTGGGATGTGGGGCTCCATGAAGTATGATTTGGGGTTCTGTACAGTGAGACTTGGAGTCCATGAAGTGTGATTTAGGTCTGTGTTCATTGAGATTTGGGGCTTCATGCTGTGGGATTTGGGGTCCCATATGGTGAGATCTAGGGCTCCGTGCTTTGAGATTTGGGGCTCCATGCAGTGATATTGGGGTCCCATGCAGAGGGATTTGGGGTCCCGGGGGGGATCCTTTGGCTCTGGGCCCCCTGTGAGGCTGTGGGGTCCCCCAGGTAACATCAACATCTGCCTGATGGGTGACCCTGGAGTGGCCAAATCCCAACTGCTGACCTACATCGACCGCCTGGCGCCGCGCAGTGAGTGCTGGGGGGGTTGGGATGGGCTGTTGGGGTTGGGTTGGGCTGAATTTGGGATCGTGTTGGGTTGTGGCTGGTTGTTTGGCTGTTGGGTGGGGAGGTTTGGGGTGTTGGGGTGTTGTTGGGCTGTTGGTGTTGGGTTGGGTGGTTGAGCAGTGTTGGGTTGAGCTGTTTCCGGTTGGAGGGTTGGGCTGTTGTTGGTTGGATGGTTGGTCTTTGGGTTGGTTGGTTGGTTTGTTGGTCTCCCCACGGCTCAATACACCACAGTTGGGTTGTTGGGCTGCTGTTGGTTGGGTGGCTGGGCTGGTTTTGGTTCCATTTTTGGGTTGGTTTTGGTTGGGTGGCTGGGCTGGTTTTGTTGGATGGTTGGGCTGTTGGTTGGGTGGCTGGGCTGGTTTTGTTGGATGGTTGGGCTGTTGGTTGGGTGGCTGGGCTGCTGTTGGTTGGGTGGTTGCACCGTTGGTCCCCTCGCTGTCCCCGCAGGTCAATACACCACGGGCCGCGGCTCCTCCGGCGTGGGGCTGACGGCGGCGGTGCTGCGGGACCCGGTGAGCGGGGAGCTGGCGCTGGAGGGCGGCGCGTTGGTGCTGGCGGACCGCGGCATCTGCTGCATCGACGAGTTCGACAAGATGGCCGAGGCCGACCGCACGGCCATCCACGAGGTGCTGGAGCAGCAGAGCGTCTCCATCGCCAAGGCCGGCGTCCTGGCCACCCTCAACGCCCGCTGCGCCGTCCTGGCCGCCGCCAACCCGGCCTACGGGCGTTACGACGCGCGGCGCAGCCTGGAGCACAACCTGAGGCTGCCCGCCGCGCTGCTCTCCAGGTTTGATCTGCTGTGGGTGCTGCAGGACCGGCCCGACAGGGAGCGAGACCTGCGGTGAGGGGCTGGGGGGTGGGGGGTTGGGACGGGGGGTGGGATGTGTGGGGATGGACGGGCTGGGATGGGATGGAATGGGGTATGGGGGGCTGTGGGGTGTAGGGGGG